GGGAAAATTGCTTGAACCAGGTAGATGGAGGTTGTGGTAAGCCGAGACTGTGCCACTGCACTCCAGCCTTAGTGACAAGAGTGAAATTCTGTCTCCAAAAAACAAACAAAAAAGGCAACAAGCTCCAGAGTGAAACATTTTGCTTCCAGAAATGGGCAGGATGGCTAAATTAGTGCAGCTGAGCACAAAGCTTAATCTAAAAAAAGCACCAATTCTAAAGATAACAGAGTTGTCTACTCATTAAAAAAAAATTTTGTTAAAAAAAAAATCTCTATGATCCTTGTAATTACATCTCTTACCAAAGTCATCAATCAGTGAAACTGGTTTGTATTAGTGTATCTCTTCTCATCCATTAGCTATTTACCATTACACTTATCAGTCAGGAAATACTGGTTATCATTTTGGCCAAAAGGCAAATGCATTATAGGAACAGAAGAAATCAGAGGCTTACTTTAAAATCTTAATTTAAGCCAAATGTTGGACAAATTATTGAAGCTTCTGGTTCTAAAACCCGTCTTTCCAAAATCTAAGTGTTTCACCCACGTACCACCCCCTTTCACTGCTCTTACTGAAGGCATGTGAATGTTCTTACCTTACAGTCTACTTTGCCTTTGTTTGTATCATTGGTTTCTTGTTTAGCTTTTTTAGGCCATATACGAGCAATAAAGGGGGAAATCAGAGGGTATATGTATGGCTCCAGGAATTTTTTGTAGATCCAGAGCAGAACTGGAATGACAATACAAGGAATGCACACCATTGTCCTGGGCTTTAGCTCCTCAACTGTTGATCTATACAAAGAAAAGAAATTAGTTCATCACAGATTAGTAACTGAAGGGATTTACCAAGATTAAGGCATCTGAAAGGGGTGAGATGTGGTGGCTCACGCCTGTAATCCCAACATTTGGGAGGCAAGAGGATACCTTGGGCCCAGGAGTTCGAAACCATCTTGCACAACAAAGTGAGACCTTGTCTCTAAAGGTAAAAAAGTTAGCTGGGCATGGTGGCATACTCCTGTGGTCCCAGCTGTATAAGTGGCCGAGACAGGAGGATCACTAGAGCCCAGGAGGTTGAGGCTGTAGTGGGTCATGTTCATGCCACTGCTCTCCAGCCTGGATGACACAGAGAGACTTTGTCTCAAAAAAGAAAAATATATATACATATCTCAAAGGACTATTTTACAGTGTAAGGAAAACTTAAAACATACTATTACATTTGCAAAGAAAAAAAAAAAAAGAAGACTTTATTAAACAAAAATGCTGCTATCTACAAGGTAAAGTAGGGCAGAAGCAGTGGCTCATGCCTGTAATCCCAGCACTTTTGGGAGGCCAAGGAGGGCAGATCATTAGGTCAGGAATTCGAGACCAGCCTGGCCAACATGGTGAAACCCCATCTCCACTAAAAATACAAAAATTAGCTAGGCGTAGTGAGGTGCACCTGTAATCCCAGCTACTTGGGAAGCTGAGACAGAATTGCTTGAACCCAGGAGGTGGAGGCTGCAATGAGCCAAGATCCTGCCACTGCACTCCAGCCTGGGTGAAAGAGCAAGACTTCGTCTCAAAGAAAAGAAAAAAAGAAATAATAGGTGGTAGACATGGATAATAATGAGGTGCTTGCTTCTAAACTTTTCCAATCACTGCTCCCGAATTATGAATTTGATGATAAAGGAAAGGCAACAACATTTGGTAGGTGCTAGGCAGTTTACATCTATCAACTCTATCAATTCATTTAATCCTCAAAACAATCAGTGAGGTTGGGTGCCTTTGCTACTATCTCTATTTAGAGTTTAAAAAATGGAGAAACAAAAACATTAATTTAGTATTATGACTTATACTTCATTTAAGTGTGGAATGGACTTCGAGTGAGATAACTCCCAAGTCCTAATCTTCAGGGACTGACAATATCAATTAGCCAAACCTATAACGCTGATGGTAAATCCTGCAATACAAAACTTACAAAGACACTACTTTGAAAGACCTCTAGGCTGAAAATCACCTGGCCTTTCCCAGGCAACAACTCTCCTTTGATATATTTTGCTTTTATTTGTAAGGGCATAATTTAAGGTGTGTCAAGTAACAAAAAAATTTTATTATCATATGTTCTAAGTAAATTGTCCATTTCCAAAAATTAACACCTATGCTGACTTTGCTGGCACAGAGCCGTAATCCTAGCTACTTGGAAGAATAAGGTGAGAAGATCGCTTTTTTGTTGTTTTTTATCAAGACCCTTCTCACTCTGTTGCCCAGGCTGGAGTGCAGTGGCACCATTGTGGCTTACTGTAGCCTTGAGCTCCTGGGCTCAAATGATCCTCCCACCTCAGCCTCCCGAGTTTGCTGACTTCGAGAAGTTCCAATGTGATTTCTAATCATCAAGGAAATTAGTGGTGTTGTTTGTTTTGAGACAAGGTCTTAAACTGTCACCCAGGCTGGAAGTGCAGTGGCACAATCATCTCTTACTGCAGCCCTAAACTTCTGCAGTTAGCCACAATGCATGGCTAGTTTTAGAAAATTTCTGTAGAGATGGGGAGGTCTTACTATGTTGCCCAGGCTGGTCTCAAATGTGTGATCTCAAGTGATCCTCCTGCCTCAGAGTTCTGGGTTGCTCAGATTACAGGTGTGAGCTACTGTGCCAGGCTCACGAGGATCACTTGAGCTCAGAAGTTCAAGGCTGAAGAGAGCTATGATCACGCCACTGCACTCCAGCTGGGCAATCGTGCAAGACCTTGTCTCAAAACTAACAAGTCAACACTACTGATTTCCTTGATGATTAGAAATCATGCGAGAACTTCTCAAAATCAGCAATTTCTTAAATAAGAACCAATACTAGTTCCATAACATATTATTAAACCAAATGGGCTGGGCGCGGTGGCTCAAGCCTGTAATCC